ATAGATAGATAGATAGATAGATAGATAGATAGATAGATAGATAGATATTAAATTCATTCATTCTTTTTTCAATCATTTATTGACTTTGCTATGAGGTACACCTACATACGAGAGCAACAGCGCCTCTTGATGGCGGATCGTGTAATTTAAAGTAATGGCATAAAAAAAACAAGTCAGATTGTCCCCTTTCGGTTGCCGTTGATTGGCGGAAGTTATCGGCGTAAGGTCGTTATTGTTGCATAGTGTTGATTTTGGTCACATTTAGTTTTTATTTTACATAATTTCTTTTCTATTCCAGGGTTTGGATATGGAAGATGAATGGGAAGAAGAGGTATAAATACAATTTTAGCTTTTAGCATTTAGCATCGCTGAAGTAGTTAGCCATAAGACCGCGATGTTTTGGGATTATCATGTTAATATATATCGTAGTACATATATGATGGCCTTTTTATGATACATTTGTTCATTTTGATTTCAGGGGGGAAATGCTCAAAAGAGTTCTTTAATCTTTTCTGCGATCCATACAGTAGAAAAATAGTGTTTGGGTTTTTGTCTTGCATGTGAGTTAACATTGTGCAGTCTTGTACAGTTTTGTCTTTTACAGCCTCTCTCATTCATTTTGTGTGTATGTTTAGGAACAGCTCGTCGTGATGGAGCTCTCTGGAATAATCAACAACGACTTCCTGTCCAAGGGTCGAGGCAAGTGCAAGATACTCGTAAGTTTATGTTTTGGGCAAAAGAAAATAGATGAGTTTCAGGACAGGTTCAAACAACACACACAGGCCCTTTGTGTAACTTCCTCTGTGTTCTTGTGTTCAAGGATATCGACGGCGAGAAGCCCATGATGCAAGTTGGGCAGTATGTGTTTGCAGGGGAATATGAAGGTGAGAACAAGCAGTTATTGAATGGTGGAAAAGTACATTTATAATGATACAAGTAACTCATTTGCGGCTGGTACTTTAAGAAACACATAATAACTTCTGCTGCACAGCCAGAAATAGTTGAGGTAAGGCACTTTAGAAAGAAAAACAGCTCTATATTCATTACACTGTTTTGTGTTATTTAGTCATGACTGACAGAGAGGAAGTTTTAGCATTAAACAATGTTTTTTAAAAAGTATCTAAAATAATCATTTCTTTCTATATTTTCTACATCGAAGACACTTTGGGAACATGCGTGTTATTTGAGGAGTTACCACAAAAAGGTAATGTCCAGTTTAACCCCCTTTAAAGTATGTTCATATGTATAATTTCTACTCAACTTTCTTGTGCTGCATTTTGGTTTGTATTTTCAGGAAAATCAAGTGACCTGAAATACATGTGCCACACTGTGAAGAAGCTGACAATGCAACGGGTCTTTGTGACTGAGAAGAAAGAGGGTGAAACAAGCAGAGGTCAGCAATGATGTCTTTCCTAACTTCCAATTTTTTTAACCTTTTATGCACCTATTACAGCTTTGATGATGCACAGTTATACCAGCTTCTTTTTACGGGAGTCGCTTGACTCAAGCGTTCCTTTCATCTGCTGTGTGTCAAAGAATCGCAATCATCTTTGCACAATGCTTTAAAAACCTAAATGTGACTAATTTCTTTTGTTTGCAGGAGGAAGTGATAACGCTGAACAGAGGGAGGCACCTCTTCTTTCTGTGGACATGACACATACCACAGATTTGGAGGATTCAGTTGTTGAATGAAATCTGCAGACTTTTCTCTATCATGACCCTCTTCTATGAAGATGACATCTTAAGAATTATCATGAAATCCATCTTTGAAACGGATATGAAAGTGGGGAACTTCAGTTTAAACAGCAATTTCAACAATTGGATTTGTTCTTTTTTTGTTTAATGTTTCATTTATTTATTTCACATTGTGCATCCAAATTTTATTTTTTTTGTAACATAATTTTGATTAGTTTTGTTTTTTATGCCAGTAGTTGAAGCTTTTCGGCATCATACACAAGCTTTTGTTTGTACATTTACAAAGGAAAGTAGGAAATCAAGTTGTGCTTCAATGTCTGAATTTCATCTGCAGCATTTGTAAACCGACTTAATGGAAAACAACATGATAAAAGTAAATATTTTAATAAGTAAATATTTTGGTACTATTCATTGTGATGCTATGGCATTTAAAGCATTAAAAGCATTAACATACTAACATTATTTTTATTTGTTATGAGCTTTTATGTTGCCAGTGGTCATAAATAAATGTAATCATTAAAGGCAGAGATATCAACAGTGCTTGAAAGGTTATAATATTAGGCGATCATTTTCCAATGACAAGTGAATATCTTATTAGTCCTACATGAGCACTGTTTTGACCATAAAGCTTTCAATTTCTATTGTGAACATAACTGAAAACTGTCAAGAGTGGATCTAAGTTATGATGTTATATCTTACTCAGTGTTAATGTTATGGTCTTTAACTTTCATTGTAAAAATTGTAGATTTTACAGTTAATAAACAGTTTGCCTTTTTGAAAAAAAAAATTTGATTTACAAAATTAAACCTATTAATTTTGTCACAGCTCCTACTCAGAAGTATAAGTTTATGAATGAAGTAGATTTTGTTGATTTTTGTGGACGTGGCGGTTGTCGGCCAATCCAATCAACGGTGCTCTCTTGAAGTGGACCAATCGTCTCGCGACATCGCATTCGTCTTCTCAGATTGTGATTGGTCGTTTATCCATTTTGCACAGGAAGTGCAAGGGTGTGTTTCCGAGGGGAGGGCGTAAAGCTTCATCGACGAACTTCCCTGAAGATACCGGTGAGTCTCTCTGGCAAATTGTGATGGAAAAGACAAAAAGTTAGAAAATACTCTCTTCAGAAGCGAATGTTTTTGAAAGACCTTTCATAAGCCAATTTACTTCCGAGTATTTTATCTTATTAGAATTGTCTAATCTGAAGGCCAACAGATCTAACGGTATGCTGCGTTAGCCTGACTGTCAACCTGGGTTTGAACAGTCGGTTTGGATATTTTGAAATAACGGCCCCTAACTTCTGCCATTTGCTGTATTTGTAGACACAGGTAAGGTTGAAGACGTGAGTCCTCCCTTAGTGAAATGCACAGATATTTTCTGTGTCGACTTAAAATGGAAAAGATTTTCTTAAAGACGTTTCGGCGAGATGTGAAATAAGATGTACTCAGCAATGTGAGCAGTATTGCTGTCAAAGAAGTAGAAACGATATTTGTTGTAATTGTTTATAGAAAGACAACTGAAGTTGAATGTGTTGAATTTGCTGAATTAAGGGGAAAGCTACTTTCTTATGGCTTCATTTCTGTCAAGAAAGGCTCGTCTGTCAAGTAAATCCTACAAGTCTTAAAGTCTGATACACCAACCTGTAAGTTGTCCTCCTTAAGAGATCCCTATATAAGTTTACCTTTGTCGGCGAGGTTTCAATATTTCAGCTTTAAAGTTATCTAAATCACAGCAAGGTGATGCAGTCAGTTTACTTTCATTGCGGAGGTGAAGCAAAAGGTGACATTTACAGCATTCCTCTGGAATGTCCCCTTACAATTCATCTGGTTGTTCAAAAATTTCTAAATCTCTGTTTTTGCTCCACACAGCCTGTTTACTCTCTGGCATCAGCCTAAAACATAGGGGGGAAAGATGAAACATAACATTTTCCTTGTTTAAGCTTTTTTGGCTAAGAATATCCAGTGATGCAACTGTTGCCGCCATCACAACATTCATCCTGAAATTACATGAAATATGCAGGCAATACAAGTCTCCACAAAGCCCCAGAAATAAAACAAATGGGGATTTCATCTCCTTGAAAAGATTAGCAATCGCTGGGGTATTTGCCTGCTCTTCATACACTGAGTCATACACCTCACACCCAGTGAGAAATCTGACATTGTACTGTTATCAGAATGTCCCTTTTAATTCAGACCAAAGTGACATAGATATGCTTTTAACATAATAAACATTTTGAGCAGAGGCCGTAGCTGTTTAAATGACATTTGAAACATTTCTTTTCCTTTTTTTTTTTTTTTTCTGTTGGTTTTGACGGTGCGTATACATAAGCAGGATGGAACTGCGGCCGCTTGTTATGTGCTTTGCTCTCTGTGTGGTTTACGCCACCAGCAAACCCACAGAGAAGAAGGACCGCGTTCATCACGATGAACCTCTCAGCAACCGGGAGCACGATGATGCAGAGAGCTTTGACTATGACCACGAAGCCTTTCTGGGTCAAGAAGATGCCAAGACCTTCGACCAACTCACGCCGGAAGAGAGCAAGGAAAGGCTCGGGTGAGAGCAGCTCATCTGATGCAGCACAAAGTGTTGGAGGGCATTGGAGAGCTTACTCTTGTAGGCTATATTTTTGTTCTTTGTTTATGTGACTTAAGTTCATTTCAAAAGGTTTTGTTTTTCCTCAGCATGCTGGTGGAACGCATCGATGACGACAAAGACGGTTACGTGACAGTTGACGAGATGAAGAAGTGGATCAAGCACGCACAGAAGAGGTGGATCTATGACGACGTGGATCGACAGTGGAAGAGCCATGACCTCAACGCGGATGGGCTGGTGTCCTGGGAGGAGTACAAGAATGCCACCTATGGTTATATTCTCGGTGCGGTTGCAGACACATTTTTTTTAATACCATACATTTGATGAACCAGAGTAGTCTCCCCTCCAGACCACATGGATCAAGCATTCACTTTCACTAAATTCACTCACACTAAAAAAGATGCGACTTTCGACCAGCAGATGACCCGGACCCTGAAGAAGGCTACAGCTACAGGCAGATGATGGCTCGAGATGAGAGGCGGTTCAAGATGGCTGACCAGGACAATGACATGAAAGCCAACAAGGAGGAGTTCACGGCTTTCCTTCACCCCGAAGAGTATGACCACATGAAAGATATTGTAGTGCTGGTGAGTGACACGCTTAACTTGTGGTATTACTCAGTCACTTAACCTTTCACATGTATTCTCACTTCCTCTTGCTCCTTTTTTCTTTGTTCTGCAGGAAACAATGGAGGACATTGACAAGAACGGCGATGGTCTAATTGACCTGGATGAATACATAGGTGAGCTCTTGGAGTTTTTCGGTGTCTTCAGCAGGTGTCAAACAACACACCCAGAGAACGCAGAGTATTTGTCAAAGGTTTGTTACCGACTCTAATTCCCTCCTTCAACCTGCTCCTGTGGTCCTGTGCTCCAGGTGATATGTACAACCAGGACGGAGATGACTCGGAACCTGACTGGGTGAAAACGGAGAGAGAGCAATTTACAGAATTCAGAGACAAAAACAAAGATGGGAAGATGGACAAGGAGGAGACCAGAGACTGGATCCTGCCCAGCGATTACGACCACGCTGAAGCCGAGGCCAAGCACCTGGTCTACGAGTCCGATTCAGACAAAGTGTGTGCTTTAAAGGCTTTGACTGTTTTCACGTCAACTAAGCATTGTGCTATGTTACTTCATGGTTTGAATTTTGTGTACTGAGGAAAGTGAAAGTTTGAAGTGTGCTTCTAAAATTCGTAAAGGTTGTATTACATAATTTATTCAATTTCTGTTGCCGGTAGTCTTATTGAAGGGGTGCTAATTTGAGGTTGATCATTGTTGTCACTCTTCCCCCATCAGGATGGCCGTCTGACCAAAGCAGAAATCGTTGATAAGTACGACCTGTTCGTGGGCAGCCAGGCGACAGATTTCGGAGAGGCTTTGACTCGACACGACGAGTTCTAACATCCAGCTGCCTCCACAGACTGTGCACTCCTCGTCCGTTCCACCCGATGGATCCCTCTCCATGGAGCATTGAGACGAGATGAGCTCGCCTAAACCAAACGCCACGGACAATAATTTATTTGATTTTCTTGAATGTGTCCAGTTGCGCACACACTAACATTGTAAGTAATGTGTACATGTTTAGCCAGTGCATCTCCACGTTCAGTTCAGCCTCAGACTGGGACGTTCCCTCCCAGCGTTTGCTCTGCTTCCACACACTACCCTCTCTCGCTCTGAGAAAGAACAAACTGCCCCCACCCCACCCCCGACTCTTTTGAAATAGTCAAGTTTTGCTACAATACCTTTTTTAAAGAACAACAAAAATAGGCTTCCAGTAAAAAGAAGAGATTATTGCACCATTTCTTTTGTATGGCACTGGACTGTGAGGCATAAACATGACCTTTGGTCTCTCTCCTCAGTGTAATTGGGCCCAACTGAAAATGCTAGCCTAATGTTGAGTTGTGCATCTGTTTTTCTTTTTTTTTATATATGTATTCTTTTTTGATAACGAATTAGTAAATGCTGGATTATAGAATGTCTGTCTGAAGACACGAGTCAATTTTAAATTCAGTGACAATGAAGACCCTTTGGCCTAGTGCAATACGTCATCATCAGCTGCATTTTAGTGTGCTCGTCCCCAGAACATCCGTGCTACACAAACTGTGTCCTGCATTAAGGACATTTGTGTTGTACGTGTGATGAAGGAAACAAGCCGAATTTAGGGACAGTTGGCACTAGATTGGATCCCCTCTGATGTCTGATCAAACTCCCCCCAACACCGTAATAAAACGGAATGTCTCTCCAGCTGATCCAATCTAGCCCTTGCCTTTAGAAATGGATGCTCTGTCCTCATGTCCTAAAGCTGCCTGACTTTTTTTTTTTTCTTCATCACCTCAGTAGTGTATTTATGTTTGTGCTTTTGAGTGTGTGTATTCCTTATATTTGATATTTGATTTTTTTTATATATACTTTCTCTCTTTTTTTCTGTTGTATTTTTTCAGCTGAACTACTCACTCATGTGCCAAGCAAAATATATTTTTTCTTGTTTTGCATTTGGAAGAAATAGTCCTTTAGAGCATATTCCTCTCTAAAATATTTATGTTTGTATTATCACTACCACCATTTATAACCACTGTTAATGATTCTATGGTTGTATTTCATCTAATGCTTTTTTGTTTACAGGCTTACTGCAGCAAAAAAGCATTTCACTTTGTGATTATACTGTAAAAAAATCAGTGGTCTGCAAACTGAGCACTCTTAACAGTTCCAGTTTTTGTGATTGGGAACAATGCCTCAATAAAACATTTAAATTGATTTTTTAAACTGATTTTCTAACCCTAACCCTCTAATTTGACTTTCATATTTGCTTTATACCTGTGGTCATGTACAGCATTGTGAAGTACAAAACGATACTACCACTGCCAGACGATGAGTGACGCTTGGTGTACAGATGCAGAGCTCTTTCATTGAGTTCTTACAAAAATCCTTTAATTTTTTTCATAAAACCAAATAATCTTTTTCCCGTGTGTCCTGGTAGTCCTACCCTTTACTACCGAGATGCTCACCCATAAATACGAAAATGAATCTAAAATCAAATATACATTGGGGTATTTTCATTGGAATAAATTGTATTCTATTCATTTACAGCACAGTGCACAACATAATGAAACTTAAAAACTGGATAGATGTATCCAGGTTTCCTATTCAGGCTGTGTAAATGTAAGTTTTTCTAACCACCTCAAAGCACATACCAAACTAGTGTGGAATTCCAGTCAGATCATCTCCTCAGAGAATTCACTTTAATAACCACTCTTAGATCATAGTTTCAGACAAATTTGCTTTACTCATCTTCAAATAAAGAGAAGAATGAGACAACAATCAGATCTGAGACTGCAGAAGGGGTAGAATAATGAAAGTTGTGCTTCTTTTTTTTTCTGTGAGTAGTTTTGTTTTGTGTCTTTTTTGCTATGCTAATACACAGTCGTTATTCAAGACCTAAAAGTAGATATCTTAAGTTATGATATATTGGTGTAATTGATTACTGAGTGTGTCTAACTGCTCAGTGTTTTAATTATAGATTGTTCTTATCAACTATACTAACTGAGATATAGAATGAGATGAGTATTATTATGCTTTTCCAGAGCATGATAATTTCCTCCTGAATATTCCTTTAAATTACATTGACATATAGATCTCTGCGTGCCATCTGAGACATTCATCTTCATCTCCTGTCGTTCGCCTCATCACTCTGTGCGCTTGCGATTTCACAGCAGCATCACTTACGGAATGTAATAAAAATGGGATTACAGCGAGCCATCACTCTCAGGAGCTCTTCTTCGTCTGACTCCAGCTCATTCTCGCCATCGCTGTTCTTGTCTGCGTCCTCATCTCCGAGAACACCCTCATCCTCTACGTCCCCCACCCTGCTGCCATCTTCGGGGGTTCCAGAAATTGTTGAGGGCCTTCTGTCCTGATGTGGGCTTATTGCATCAGCTGCCTCTACCGAAGGCCCTGATGGTTCCATGTAGTCCAGCGATGTGCAGGGCTGTTGCTCCTCTGCCATCAGACACTCTGGCGTTTCTGGAGGGGTGTCAGTCGGAGATGTATCTATATGTACCATCGTTGCTTTTAAAGGGCCGTGTTCAGGAGTGGAAGGGGGTGAGCCTGCTTCTTCGGGGAGAGGTGAGGACAGTGAAGGTGTGTGTGGAGGGGTTTTCAGACAGGCTCTTAGGAGAGATCTGTCCAAATCTGCTAAAACGATTTGAAAATTGCAACTGGATGGAGAGGAGGGGCTGGCAAGTTGGTCACCGTGGCTGTCGATGGTGGCATTTTGCAAATCAGGAACACTTGGAGGTGAGAATCGGGGGTCATCATGGGCTACAGGGATGGGGCTGGATTGGGCCTCAACAGGTTGTGAGGTCAAACCGGTCTGAGGGTCGGGATTTTCCGTGGCTCGAACAGGATCGTCAGCCATTTGTAAGGGGGTCACTTTTTCCTTGACTGGTTCAAAAGTAAATGAATCAGATAATTTTTTGATCGGTATGGAGGAATTATTATTGAGGGCTACTGAGCTGCAGACTATTTCAGTTATAATTAGGGTGGTGTCTGATGCGGCAGCTGTCATAGGAGGAGCGGGTTCTTGACAGATGTTGTTGTTGTGATTAGTGTAGTCGTCTGGTTTGTCTGGAAAGCTAAAGGTAGGATTACAAGTGCCAAACTCTTCATTGTTGTAGGCTACCTCCTCCATGTGGGACATGGCACCATGGTGATTAACCTGAGGGAAAACCAGAGCTTAGCATAGCATGACTCATCTGGAGCGAGTGAACCCCAGTAACCTCAAGACAAAAGAGTTGGGACGCTCTATAAAGTCAGGATAAATCAGAACAGATTGATCTATGAAACTCATAAGCCAACTTTTTACACACAAAAATAAATAGTAGAAAAAGAAACTAAACAACGTGAACCATATTTTTACCTTGTGCTTAAAACTTACCAGTTGAAACCAGCGTAAGCTCTGTAGGAGGATGCACAAAAATATTTCAAATTAGAGTAAAGTCACTTTGAAAAAATATTTATATGAGTAACAAATAAAAGGAAAAAACGGACATAACAACACAATTTGCAAAACTATACTGTAGAGCAATGCGTCAACATATCGACTAACACTTGATTTGCTTATCACATTAGACAGGAGGCTCAACACTACAATCAGTATAAAAAGTTTAGTTCTTCTCTCATCTCATAGCCTTAAACTATCTTACCACATTTGGGTGTTTGCCCTGTGCCACACATCCTCTCTCCTGCGGGTTTCTCAGTCCTTTGTGTTTCCTCCTCAGCCACATCAGTACGGACAGGACACATCCCAGCAACGTCATCATCACCATGCTGAGAAACAGCGCTTTTCCCACAGTGCAGCCCGTCAGTCGCCCCTCCTCCATGGCACTATAAGGGACTGAGGTACGCACGATTAGGAGCGTATGGAGCTGTTTTCAGTAAGCCGTTGCGTCAGCAGTCAGCGGTGGGTGCGTAGGTGTGCCGCCTTACTTGATTGTCCCTCAGGTAACACTTCCACCACCACAGTAGCAAAAGTGGTGTCACCTGAGTCCTGGTCTACAGCTGTTACCTGGGAAACGTTTTTCGTGCATATATGTATGAGATTCAGCAGGTAGAGATTTCGAATTATAGACTTGTAGGTTCATGTTGGCTTTTTAAATGACTTATTCAGTTTTATTCGGCCAAGTAAATCAAGAAAGAAGATATTTGTGTATCGAGATTATACCAGGTTAAAGGTTTGTAGCTGCAGGTTTTCACTCACCTCTAAAACATGTTTCTGCTTTGGTTTTAAAAGACTGGCCCTCGCGATGAGGAGCCCTCCCTGTGTGACTTGGTAGACATCTGTGTGATTGGATGTCGGACTTAAGGTGAAGTAAATCATGGGATTAAAACCCTGTGTTGGAGTGTTGGAGAAAAAATAAGTTAGTAAGTCATTTGAGCTAATTCAAAATCAAAAGAAGCATTTAAGAAACTCTTATCCAATGAACAGCATGTGTGAAGAGCACAGGGCTCACCTGTTCAAAGTCTTGGTCTTTTACATGCAACATTAGCGCCATGTTGCCGTAACTATTGACCAGAGAGGCTGGACTTCTTCCTGCAGTCACAAAGCCGTGATATTCTGCCTTGTCAAACTCGGGATAAAACTGATTCACTGCCATGATTCGGACCAACACTGTTGCAACAGAATACTTCCTAGGGTCATTGTCCTGGTATGCCTGGTTTCAAAATAGGAACATATTAAAGAAGAAATTAATTATAGAGTAAACAACACATTAAACCCATAAATGACTATAAGCTTACAATGACTTGAAGACGCAGAAGTGGAATCATGAGGCTGTCTCCTACTCCCTGAGTCAGTCTCATTTCACCTGTCTCTCTGTTTATCCTGAAACGACCGGTGTCATCTCCTGCCGTGAAAATACAAACAAAATTAAGGGAATGCGGATGTAAGCTCATCACATCCCGGAGTTGAACTTCAACTGCTATGCTTGTGGTACCTGAGAGAATGGCATAACTGATTGGAGAGCTGAGGGCTCTGTCTCCATCCACGGCATGAATAGGACCCGGAGAAAAGTTCAAAACAATGTCCTGAAATGTGACAAACATTTGGCACTCAATGATTGTCATGGCATGCAAAAAAACTGAGAACCTGCAAATGTGCATTTTGCAGATGATTTTACATGTGGATGAAAAAAAGGAGATTCAGAAGTTTGAACTTGACATTCGGTTACATCATCAGTAGCCTCTGTGACTAAATGTAGTATGTGTTGAGGTGGGGCCTGACCTCTTCTCCCTCTGTAACGTTGACTGTGTAGACGGGGTTTGTGCAGATTTGACTGGCTTCATCCTTAAAAAGCAACATACAGGGCAAGAACTGCGGATACTGATCATCTCCATCTAGAATGGTGATGCTGATGTTGATGCTGGTGTTGTAGCGCTCGGCAGTGTTAGTTTCCTGATGAAGACCAGACAAACACATCCCACTGGTCAAGAAAGGGACCAAAATTAGGTCTTGCTATCTTCGGGCAAATCTCTAAGTGCAAAAGTCAGAGGTGAAATATACACACAGAAGCAAAGATGGTGACATTGAGCAGGGTCTTGGTCTCATAGTCTAGAGGTCTGGCCAGGATCACCTCCCCACTGTTCGGTAGACTGACTTCGAAGTACTCTGCATCAGGCTGCAGAATGGACAAAAACAATAAATGAGTGACCAATTATTTAGTTAGCTATTCAGTCTACATTGTCTACAAAGGAAATAATCAACTTACAGATGACTGGTCAATTGAGTAAACGATATTGTCATTATCAGCATCAGTGGCTTGGACAGTGAAAACCACTGTATTAACTGGAATCAGCTGGGTAAAGCAGACACAAACAGATGAGCATAGAGGAACTTTATGGAGTTGGAGAATAGCAAATGTGCACGCACGTGTTTTTATGAAAGCATCATACCTCACTGAGAACAACAGACTGAACGGTGTTTTCCGTAAACATCGGTAAATTATCATTCTCATTGAGAATCTCCACCATGATCCTGTACACGCTCTACAACAAGACAAAGGGAAGCCCCCACACCTGCTTTAACATGAAATCATAGAGACATTATGGGCAAGATGATGGAATTTACTGTACCTGGTATACATCATCAACATGGCACGATAGTTCAGCGCTTAACACTTGACCAAGGGCCTAAGAGAGACCACAGACATGTTGCTGCAATGGAGATCTTCACGTTTGAAAAACTGCAATTAGTGTAACAATTTGTAGCTAAAACGATGTTTCAAACAACATTGGACCAGTGTGTTATATCGTTTTCCCCTTTAACACCTTTTTTCCTGATGTATCTGTATGAAAAGTGCTATTTGAATAAAGTCTTATTTATTGAGGGAACATTAAACCAGCCTGAAACCTAATTAACTGGAATGCATCAGAAAATCGAAGGCAGTCAGCCACTCAGCAACACACTTGCATTTGGCATTGTTTTGCTGAAATAAGCAACAATCCATTCTGGGAAAAACAAAAATCTGTCTCTCTAAAACATAAATATATCATCAAGTAATGATGATGCCTGGGTCATTTGCTAATAAGTCTTTCATAGAGATGTTGGCAGCGTTTGTAGAACTTCCATTTTTATTGTTTTGTTCTTTCTATTGTCAGTAATTTAGAATAAGGAGGATTAAAGCACACTCTTCAAATGAGATGAATAATTTATGACTGGAAACCTGTTTTTTCTTAATGATTCATGGTGGAACAATCATTTTTCACGCAGTTAAAACAGCACAGGTTATCTTTCAACGATTATATAAACTAACAACACAACTGACTGATTTATTATTTAATACATAAGATGTGATAGTTTTTTTTTTGTTTTTTTGTTTGGTTATGGTGTTCTCAGTATCTTCTCAGGTGTACCTGGAGCTGAGCATAATGTCTCAAAGTGGCCTTGATGTTAATGGAGTTTTAAGGTGTAGACAGAATATTTTAGATTAAGGAATAAGTCATTTAGTTTTTTTCTTGTTTGTTTAATGGCAGAGTTTAAAAACAAAGGAAAGTCGAAGAGAGAAAGGACTAATCTGGGTGACCCTTCAGCAGCTGCTCAGCTGTTAAGCAGCTGTCTGGGAATGACAGTGAGACAGACTGTGTGTGGTCTGAGGAAGAGGTTGTGAGGTTCAAACCCGCATAGCTGGTGCCAAATTCTAGATACGACTTTCTTATTGTCGCCTCAAACCATGAGAAATCGTCTCACAGAATTTAAACAGCACAATTATCCTTGTATTAGGTTTCTGACTTCCTGCTTAGATGACAGCTCAAAAAACACCATTCCCAGTGTCGAACAGGGCATATCCTGTGTCATTACCTCTCGGTCAAGGATCTTGTCAGCTGATGTATTCAGCCTGATGTTTCTGTCATCCAGAAAGAACCAGTCGGAATCCTTTCCGACTAGGCTCCACTGTACTCCGTCCATTGTGGTATCAGCTACAATCTCAGCGACAATCTCCCCCGATTGGCTGTTTTCCTTGATTGATGCAAATATATCCTGACCGTCCAAACATCCAAACCAGCCTGACATGCCTTGGAAGACAAACAAGTACACTTTTCAATATGAAATACGATCATTCTGATCTGACAAAAAAAGAGAATGAAGTGGTCGTACCTGCAACTTCGTGCAGACATAAGAAGACCAATAGCGAGCAGAGAAGAGTCCCATGTTTCAGCTCAGAGAGGGCCATTCCTGGGATCAGTCAGGCCTCAGGATCCACTCAGTTTCCCTGAGTAAAAGGGAAGATGGAGAGTGGGCCGACACTTTTATGTTTCCACTTAGTAAGAAACAAATTGAATCATCTGAAGTCTGTGTGGATTGATGCTCACACACCTCAAGAATCATCTCTGGATTAAGAGTTCATCCTTATGTACAAACACAAACACATGCTCTACCATATAATTCCCTCAAATCCCCTCTAAGTGGGTTCGTCCTGGGGTTTGACCATCTCAGACAGCTGACCAGTAGTCTGATATTCTTCTAAAAACACGATTCTGTGACCTTACACATTTCTCACCTTTCCCTGGCTATCTTTGACCTGTTAATCTGTTAATACTGATTATAGTCACGAAGCCTGTACAACTGTGGTTTCCAAATGATTGTCTTTTTCCTATTATCTTTAAGCATTTGCATCATTAATATTAATTCAATCCTAACTCATCATGTTAAAAAACTGGAATGAGTGATTTGTGTAAAATGCTATTTACTGTACTATTAAATTTTTGGACTAAATTTCATGTGTTTATGAGCCAATGAATAGGATCGTTTTGCACTTTGCATGATCTGGGATTTCATTGTACACGAAAACATAAACAAATAAGAATTACAAACCTTGGCAAATTAAGAAAATTAAGATTTCTTTCAGCTATATTCGTGTCCGAGCTGAGCTGGATGAAGACGGACTTGCACTGTTTACAACGTTTGAGCTGACTGACCTGTTGGTGTCAAATCCTCTGCTGTTTGCCTTCCGGTCTCCATATCCTCTGTCTTTGTGCTGGACACAACATCTTTGATTCTTGAAATACTGAAATGTCACAAAACACCGTAAACAAAGGCCAGCAGATCCCTCCTGGATAAAACAAGGTGACAACAGCCCATAACCCCACAAACACACTGACCCCCCCACACACACATCAAAAAGCAGACAGCAGCTTATGTTGTGTGTCCTGGGATAAAAGCAAGCTCAGAAGCTAAAGCCTGAAGGCGGAGCTTACCTGGTCAAGACTGCCGTCAGATTAGAGATGGCAAGAAGTTGACACACTGGTCAAAGGCCCCACTTCCTGTTAAATGTGAGTTTTCTCTGATACAAACTCACTTTACTGTCAGATTGGCAGTATCTTTTGTGGAAAATTGTTTTAAAAAAACAGCATGCCCCGTGAAATGACATGCATTTTTTATGGTACCTTATATCTTAGAAGCTGTTAAATGAGAATAAACCTGTACTTTGGACACAAAGCTTGTGCCAGTTGGATTTGTTCAATTAGCAATGTGTAGTAAACTAATAGAGCCTGACAGGGATTAGCTATCAAACGTCGGCTGCATCTTCTGAGGATTAACCCACATCCCTTCACACACTTGTCACAGCATGCATAGGCGCCCGCGCAGACAAAAGCCCGAAGCAAAGGAGAATGTTTGCACATATCTTTAGGCCCTAAAGATATGTGATGAAAGCTTGTCATCTGGCCCCAGAGAAATGTTTTGGTTAGTCCCAGCTTGTGAGAGGTTTCCATTGTGATGGGAGAAACTCAAGCATCAGACAGGTAGAGTTTGTCTGGAAGGGGGGGGGGGGGGGGGGACAGACTGTAAGCTGTGCACACACAACAATGATTTCCCCCATCATTCTTTTCACACGTTGGTCCCACCTCCAGACTTAGAGCCGGTGATAAAAGTGAGGAGTTGTGTGTCTGTTGTCACAGACGTGACCACTGGAGGTCAGCAAAGTTTTGGTTGAAAGGACAGAAAAAAACTTGGTCGCATGATCTCTAAAATGTTTAGTAACCAATGTTTTTTTTCAGGTGAAGTTACTTAGAATGGCTGCAAAAGCAGAATGGTAAGGTTACAGATACTGATCCGAGGTAACAAATGTTTACTAAGATCAGAAGAGCATTTAACAGCGTGAGGAAAGAATAACTTGCTTTTTTCCGAATTCCGAGCTATGCTATCTTTTAATTAGCCTTTTAGTGAAATACCAAAATATCTTCCAAAATGACTTGCAGATTCATACTGAGAAGAAAAAACATTTTTTCAGAAAAAGTTATGATATTTATACCAGTTTACATTTTCAAGCGTTTTCAAGGCACTTTTAACTAGTGAGGACAGTGTATTTATTTGAAGAAAGTTACCAATTTTACCATTAAATCATCCACATGACAACTGTGTACAGCTGGATGTGGGTGCAATACTTTTTGTCATAGGGTTCTTTTGATATGTGAATATTGATTTCATATCCGAACAATCTAAAGTCTGATGCCTGAATTCTATCATTGTTCCCAATTTGCAGCCTAAGTTTGATGCCCAGCACAGAAAGCAGAAACGATGAAAAAGCAGCAAAGGGAAATCAAGTCCGGACTTGGGGGGTAAACTTTAATTGTATCATTACAGACCAACTGACATGAGTCATGGATGAGGTTTAGTTTGGTATGTGGACAGACAGCCGAGAGATCTCGTTTCAAATCAACTTTATTGTTTAGCATGGTAAGAATTTCCCCTCAGTGAGTTTTGTGTGTTTAGCAAAAAGTGATGACATTTTCTCATCTGCTACATGCATTATCAAACTCCTGGGTGTCCTATAGTGTCTCCCTACTACAAGACCTCACGGAGGCATTAGGGCAAGTCTTAAATCTGTGGGTTGCTCGACTGAACAAGCACAACTAAGATGAGCAGCACAACAACGGGGCACAGGCAGAATGCTGGAGACTGTGATGGGGGTTTCCGCACAGTGGGATGCACTTTGGGACTGTTTCCAAAGCTGTAAAACATGACAGTGTTTAACACAACCTCTGTCTTTTCTCAGTCTGTACACTCACATTCACTCAACACATTTTTTTGGCTGCTTCAGCATGGCTCCCCTCCAGTCTCCAGACCAGGTTTTAGCTGATTACCAAAACGAGGGTCTTTGGGAACCAGCACCACTGAGCTGTGCTGGGTGGAGAGGGTTTCTTTTTTTTTTTTCCAACCAGAAAAAAAGGAAAAACAACGGAAGAAAAGACTTCACTCACAGATGTCCCTCTGGGACTGAGGCAAAGACAAGAGCTGGTGACCTCCCACGCACTGAACACCTGAACTTTTTTTTTATTTTTTGCGCATATCTCTAATTTTTATCGTACCTTCTTCTTTCTTTTCTTTTCTTTTTTTTAAAAGAAAGGATATCTTGATAAGAGCTGTAGATGTTTTCGACTTTATTCCGAATAGCTAAGGCCCCAGGGAGGGTTTGTAAGTGTTTGACTGCAGATAAGTGACGCCCTGCCTGCATCCAGATGTTTCATGTTTCCCCTGCGCGCTCTTTGGAGAGGTCTGCTCACCGCGGAGCAGCAGGGAGAGCAGGGCGAAGCATCAAGTTGGGTTAAGATGTCCATCAATACTGAGCAAGCTGCATGAAGTGTTGGGATTTTGATTTATTTCTTATTTTTCTCGTGATGACAATGGAGAGCAACAAACTGAGGAGGATTGTGCTGCTGGAGTTTCATTTGCTGTGGCTCTTTGCGCTGTCTGTGCACGCACATTCTGGTCCAAATCACGAAAATGGTAGGATTACTCTTCAAGTGAAACTTGTAATTCAATACTTTTAATTAGAAAATAATTCCCCCAAAATATGTTTGGAAAAAATTATGTGGACACTCGTAGCTCATGTAGGCTGGGTTTCATTTACATACTCGGTGTTAATAGTGAAACTCTAAAGTATAAACTGTAACTTAACGATGTTTTCTCAGGGGAAAAAATATCAAATCAATACATTTACGCTGTTCACAAGATGCAAAATCAACATTTTACCGTTTATGATGTGGCAAACAAAGATTGTTTGGTGTAATTTTAGCTTTTAGACTTTTAGATTATTTTTAATTAAGTGGCATTTAATTAATTGCCTGATGTGTTTGTATTTTTGTATAAACATTTCCTATTGAGTTTTTGTCCGTTTTTGTTTTTTGTATTTTATGTTAAAGCACTGAACACATACTTCTACCTTTTGGACACAATGAATCTGAGTCCTGCCAAAGAGGAGTTCATACTTTTTTCTGTCTTTAATTGTTGCTTAAGCCTTACTACAGGGAATGCTTATGCTCACTCTGATGTTGGTTTTAGGTATGAGGCAGCAATGGCTGTCATAATGATGAATGGTTTAATTTGCATCCCCTGGGGTCAGCTGAAAACTGACAACGTCATTAGGTTTTTTCCAAAATAAAGGCCAATGCAATCAACGTAGAAAGGAATTCAAAGCACTCTGAATCCATTTAGTTCTGAATATTCCTATATGCTAAACAACAATATTTATCATTTCCATTACCTCCAGTGGAGATGTCACGACCAGTATTGTTATTCCAAAGATATTCATAGAGTCTTTTAAATATTTCTTTATTAAAATCTTTCACTCAGAAACTCGATTTTGAATATGTGTTTATAGTTGTTTCTTACAGATGGACTGAATTTTTTCTTCCTTGTAGAGGGTTAGTGACAGCATACCTGAGAGAATTATTCATGATAGCTTTATTGAAATGTATAAAGCAGCTAAAAACAGATATAAGCGTTTTTGTGGGAATGGTGATGTCATACTTCTGGGATATGTACACTGTACATGATGAATCTGTCATTTGCTTTTTTCCCAGCGATTGACCTTCTGGCGGCCCTAAAAATGTCCCAGCAAAGAAATGGAGTGTCCAGACTACAGAGTCCTAGCAGTGTGATATATAAGATACGTCCCAGAGCAGCCTACCTGACCCTCCCTCGGGAATACTCCCACATCCTGCACTCTAACCTTGGGGATAGCGTTGGTGTGCACTTAGTGGGCCGTCAGGCTTCGAGATCCAGTGCCACATTTTTTTCTCTCTCCTCCACGTCCTCTCCCATCCTCCAAATCATCTCCTCCACCATCAGTAACACTCTGCAATTGGACTATCCGGTTAGAGGGAGAGGTCTTGCCAGCTTTCAATTTCCGAGGGGAAATCCCTTCTCGAGGGGAGAATGGGTACAGCTGGCCGTGAGCCTGGAACCTGGGAGACTGGTATTTTTCATAGACTGTCAAGAAGAAGCTGTTCTGGAGATAAAAAATGAAAACAGGACCAACTTGGATCTTCCAGTAGATGTAGTCATTGCTCTCGCCAGCACACCAGGAATAAAAGACAGCAAATTCAATGTGAGATTCAAAGTACAAACATGTGTATGCTCTAAGAAGAATTGAGAAAATCACATTTGCATTTTTAAATGTAATTGATATTGGACATTTTTCAGGATAAGATAAAAGCCACTTAGAGTTTGTAGACAATCACAGAAAGTAAAAGTGTTGCCCAGAATGTGTGCATAGTTCTGTATGATATGCAGTTCCGCTTTACTTGTGGATTAATGTATCTATCCTGATTGCAGGGGTATTTGAAGTCGGCTGAAATATCACTGAAAGCCTATCGGAGGCGTCCGTGGAAGTGTGACAATATTACAGGTGAAAAAATAATGATCTTTATCAAGGCTCAATGTGTTTTACTTTAAATAACATTTTCCAGATTGTCTTGTGAATGTGCCATGGAATCCCCCAGTTTGTTTTTCTTTTTGCCTCATTCCCTCTCAATTGTTGATTCAGAAGGATGGCAACGTTTGTGTGCTTTGATCCACAACAAGAATTTTTGAAAATATCAAGTATAAATATACAGATAGTGTAATTAAAACCCAGTAAGGGAAGAAGTAGCACATTGGTCCTCAGGCAGAAATTTCTCAACAAAGTTTATTTGTTTGTTATTCCATAGTATGGGATTTCATTTCGACCCCGCTCCCCAGGATGTTTGCTTAAGATCCAGAGTCACTCCACTAATCACTGACCAGAAAAACTCAGTCTTTTCTCCCATTAACTTCCTGTTTCCTCTTTTAGATTATCTGCCCCCATCTCAGCACACAAACACACAAATCAATTCCAGTTCCTCGTTTGACACTTTTCAAAAGTTGCATCATGACGGCCCGTCCAGTGAGCCTCAAACAAACCACAGACAGCCAGACAAAATCAGCCACTATCTCAAAGCTCTCCAGAATGATCAGCTGCAAAGAGGCGCTGTGCTGGGGCCTCCGGGATTCCGCCAAAGGGCAAAAGCTTCTCCTCAGGTTCAAACCAATGACAGGCTAGACACGCTGGAGAAGAGATTGGAGGAGTTGGTGCGCATGTTGGACATGGTCAAAGCTCAGGTGATGACTGCACCCATAGAAGACCTATCAATGAAACATGATGTGATATATTGTGACAAGAATTTATTTTTTTAACAGAATGTAGATTTACTGTCGCGCGTAAAATACCTGGAGGGATGTGAATGTGTGAGGCAGCGATGTGTGTGGGAAGGACGTGAGGTGGAGGAAGGCCAGCGCTGGCAGATAGACCTCAACACCGTGTGTTCGTGCACATCTGGAAATGTCAACTGCCAAACAAATACAAAAAATGAAGGTAAATCAGCTTTTTTCCTCTCTATTTGTCATGTCTCTCTTTATGTGTATTGTTTTTTTGTTTTCATTACTTCCATATTCATTCATACCATGCTTTCCTTTCTCCATTTCATTTACGCACTTTCACAATGTAAGGACCTCTGTTCGGTTTTTCCCTCTACTTGTGTTTTATCAGAATGGTGGGTGTTTTGCATGTGTTTGCATGATAATTTAGCTTTTTGGAAAGACTTTTCAAAACTGAATGCCAACGTGTTCCCCCAAGTTTGCAACCACCCCCTCTTCCTCTCTTGGTTCTGCCATTTCCTGCAATTAGTGCAGTGGGAGACGCTATCACTGTTGCCAGACAAAGTTGCACATTTTATATTTTGAGTGGAAACTGAATTCTGATCTTCATCCTGCTAATAATAGTTTTCTTGGCATGCACAGGACACGTTCATTTACCAAACTGAGAGGAGAGTGATGAACACAAGATAAACAAAATCTAGAAGATGTTGAGTGACTAAACCCACAACATTTTTGTCTTTAATGACTTTGTCTTGGATCTTGGAGAGATGTATATGCCTGTAGTTTCTTTACACCAATTTCAGTTTCTGAAATACTTTAAGGTAAAGATAAATAGGCATGTAAAAATATAAATTGTGGTTATCAAGATGTAAATAGTTAAAACTGTCTCTTGATATGTTGAGCATCCATTTTTAAAGTATAGACAAATCCAATGGAGGGTTTTGAAACAAAGGCATTCATGGTCTCACTGTGAAAAGTCTATTATCATTAATTGTAGTGAAACCTGTTTAATGTTGTCTGTCATTAAAAATGTAGTTATGATGGCATTTCCCTCAAAACATGTTTCGAACTCCACGAGCAGCTGTCCTCTCGACCCTGCACCTGTTGTGTGACTTCTGCTATGGAGCCTGTTTCCATGACTTTATAGAGGCCGTCTGCCAAATGCACAGCTGTGATTCCCTTTTCATCGACTTGCATCATCCATTCTATCCAATGCAAATCATCTCTCACTATCCAATGCTCACTATTACAATCCAAAATCAGTGGCAGCTGCTCTGAGAGACCAAAATCAATAACACGTTTGTCAAATTCTGAGCTTGAACCTTGAAAATGATGGTTCACTGGTCTTATTTAATGATGCCTCTCATTATGACCTAATCGTGAGTAAATATACAAATTGGAGGGGCACTTTGGCACAATTTTTTCTCTCACCACCCCACATGATTACACTAAGCTTTGTGCTGATTGTTCAGATCTGAACCCTCCATCTGACAACTCCCTGCTGATATTTGCCACATCCTCCATTTTTCCTATTACCGCTTCTGCATGGAGCTCAGCAGACTGCGCTGGCACCAAAATGACACACAGTTAAAAGTCCCTCTTGCATGAGCTTTGATCTCATGCATGCTTGGCCTGCTAGAGGAAATGCCTGTTGGTTGCAGGCACAGTAGGCAGCCTCACTAGCCTCTCTTACACTCTGTGATTATTGCTCTTTACCACATGCAAACACATTGTCTCTGTCCATTGCAATGTGGTCATTAAACTTTTATGATTAGTCATTATGAACTTAAATGTTCAAGGTAAGCAAAAATTAGTCAGTGAGGGGGGGGAATTGTCAGGACTATGCTCTGATGGAGCTACACTCTCTTTCAGATAAGTTTTCTTTGACCTTAGTCTTTTTATGTAAATCTTCCAGTGTTAATAGACCTGTACAACCTGTCTTTCATGGTCTTTAAAGTCTGGAAGCCCGCAAACGCTTCTGGTTATGGTTATAGTCCATAAAATGCGTGTGTGAAAGCAAGCATCAGAGCTATGCTGTTCTGTCATTACTGGAAGGAGAGCAGAGCCAGATGTTCCCCAGAGGCTCAGAAAGAAGGTGAAGAAATCCTGTAGAGACAGACAAAGGCCGACACCAGCAACTTTTTTACATCTCTTGCGCACACACAGATGTTCATAACATCTGGGATGTGCAGATGCACACTAAGAAGGTTCAAAATGTGTAACCCTGAAAACGACTGTGTCATTTTCAGGTTGTGAGCCGGATGGCAGAGTTTACAATGTGTCCTACACCACTCTGGATGGCTGTCAGACATGTGCATGTGCGGTGAGTAGGACACTGAGCATCAATACAACTCTCAGATTCTCCAGTCTATTGATTCTTTTCTTTTCTTTTTTTCTGTTTCCTTCCACTTTGGCTGTAATAGGACGGTAACAGGGAGTGCTCTCCTGTACCGTGCTCCTCACCAGACTGTGCAGTGGGAGAGACAGGACCTGGAAACTGCTGCGAACAATGCAAAGGTGAGAATATGGAAAATAGGACAATTAATGTATCCTATGTTATGTTGTCACTTAAATTTGCATTGATTTTCCTGCAGAAGGAAAACTGCCCGGGCTCTTTGAATGATCACTGTTGCACATAATACGCCTCAAAGTTGATATTGATAAACCATTTTGAATGAGAACATATTTTTGTGCTTTTTAGTTAATTGTTGTTATTGGTTTTCTCAAATATTGGGTTTCATTCCTTCAGACCACTTTAGTTTTGACTGGATGGAAATGTCAAGAATTTGTACATTTCCACTGCTTTAGAACAGCCAAATGAAAAGCTTGTTTGTGATTTTGTTGCTATATCTGCTCCTCTAATCTCCACCCTGATGTGAACCCCTGCTTTGACAGCACCTCACATGAGAGTAGTCCTGTCTAACACAAAGGAATTTCTCAGACTAAAAGTTCAGGCTTCTCCAGTGAAGTCGTACTTAAGATCCAGAAGTGAAATTGGACACACTATGGTCCCTGGTAACTTGTTTTCCCACTTTAGGCCTTTATGGTATAATTGTGGCCTTTGATTGATTCTGCTTGTCTGTAATACAGCAAGCAGCTCATTCTCTGTGCTTGCCAACTTCTGCAGTCCAGTCAAAAATGATGAATTAGCCTATTATCCCAGAAAGTCGTGCTTATCAGAGACAATGGTCTAACACACCACATACCCTCATGTTGATGTAATTTACGGGCTTATACCCCAGGAGGTCGTATTTATCATGATATTTAAAGGGCAAGCACCCAAGTGCTGGTAAAGGGAAATAATTAGTTTATTTACCCTAAAAATCCACATATACAATACATTCATTTTAATGGGAAAGGGGCATTAATAACGTTCATATGTCTTATACCATATGTATCATGCAATATTCAATTCTGTGATGACATTTAAAACACTTAACTGGGAACATCGCAAACAGACATTTCACCTGCTGACTGAGGTGAAATGTCCCATTTGAATTGAAATATTGAATTGATGGGCTTTCTTCTCTGCTGGATCGTCTTGCAAATTCCTTAGCGAGTTAACACCTGGAAGCAGCCGAATAGTAATCTGAACTATGTTTTCGCAGGTTGCACCCATGCTGGTGTCAGGTATGAACATGGAGATAAGTGGAGGCCAGTAGAGAATCCCTGTGATGTCTGCTCCTGTCTGGTGGGTTTCACACTAACTGCATGCTGGCACCAAGTCTCGATCTAGTATTTCACTTATTCTCTCATGTTTTTTCCCTGTTTTATCTTAACAGGAGGGTCAGGTTTGCTGTGAGAGGGAGCAATGCAATACTCCTTGTGAATATCCTGCTGCTCCTTCGCCCAGCAGCTGCTGTCCTATCTGTCAAAGTGGGCTTCGTAGTATTAATGTTTTCGTAATGTTTTCATGGCACTTAATAGACGGGGTAGACATGAAGGGTGTTTGTGTGTGTCTTGTAGGTTGTGAGGTGAATGGGTTTAAGTTCCCTAATGGAGCTGCTATCCCAACTGAAGACCACTGTCAGGAGTGTGCTTGTGTGGTATGTGTGTTAGATATGGTGGGTTTGTAGTGGGACTAAATCGACTGAACGGCATTTTCATTTATCTTTGTTCTTGGTCCTCCAGAATGGAAATATGGAATGTTCACCGCTTCAATGTCCTGCCGTTTCCTGTAGCAATCCTGTTCGTTACACGGGAGAATGCTGCCCTCGGTAAAATCCTCATCCAAGCTGCTTAAACACATTCAAACCTTTTCAATGTTGTGTTTGTGTGATGTTCAGTTTGAAATTCTCTGCATGTTTTTCCATCTTCTGAATGGTTATTTCTTGTCTGCAGATGTGAGCAATGTGAACATGAAGCTGAGGTTTATGTGAATGGAGAGAAATTCCCATCCAGGAGTGACCCTTGTCTCCACTGCAGCTGCTCTGTGAGTGGCAAGAGGTTCTTTCTTCCTTTAATAATGTGTTTATTTCAGTATGAGACTTTGATTAAACTAGACCAAGGAACATGCTTCAAAATGATGGGGATATTCCCTACACAATACATAATTTAAACCACCCCTTTAATTCTAAACAATCGACATAATTTGATAATTTTCTTGTCAACGTGTCTGATGGCATAAGATATGGTAATAAAGAACTATATTTCTACAAAGACAATGTCTTATAAAGACAGGGAAATAGATATAATTTAACTGAATAAATTATAGGAGTTATCTTTTAGATTACAAAATAGAATTACAGTATACCATAAACTCAGGCACTGGTTCACAAACACACCCACACGTATACACAAACAAAAGCCTATCCACAAGCCATCATACATCTCCCACTGGTGATTATGATAGGATCTAATGAAAACATGTCTTGTTTTGAGGTGTACATTTCAGTGAGGATCAAGATGGGGTCGTGTTCTGTTGTAGCTCTGACAGGAAATAGAAGTGATTAATGTTAATTTATCTTGTTCATTTTGCTTGTGTTCTGGTTTTGTGTGTTATTTTTAAAACTGATAACAGAAGAGAGACAACAGCTAAAAGTCTTTTTCCATTTAGGGAAATCAAGACTCTTTGAACTGAGAGCTTTCTAAAAGGGTCTATAAACTTTCAACAGCGCTCTGTAAATGCTACGGATCTAAGGAGACCAGTTGTTGTAGTTTTTAGAATGAAATGTATCTTATTTCTTGCTATTGCTTTTAATAGTTAAAGTACTATTGTGCTATTTAGATTTTGGCATTTGCTGGCACTTGATTTCACCAGCTCAATGAGTTCAATCATTACTTTGCATTGCACCTCTTTTACTACGTGCTGAAACTTCTCTCATGCTGTCTGGTTTTAATATAAAGGCTTACTCATGTTTCCCAAAAATCTGAACACATTAGTTTTCTTCGACTAATGCACCCTCTATGATATATGGCTTTTGAAGTGTTCTTACATACGTGATGGTCTGTTCCCCTTTAGCTTAGAGGCTGTGTTGTCCACAGTGCAAATATCAATTTTTTAACTCAGTTCAGTCCACCTTAGAATAGCTCTTTACCGGAGAAAGCTGGAGATATTCAAGAACTTGTTTGTGTCAGTATTTTTCTTCACATAACGCATTTGTGGAAACACTGATTGAACAAAGTAGTGGTCTTCAAATATGTAGCTGTTCTCTCTTGATTTCTGTCAAATAGAAAATCAAAACCATCAACTACTGGTTTCCTGGTTTTCCCTTTCTTTGGAGTCTTTTTGTTTGATCAACACGTTTCCTTTTAGTCCAGTGTCCACACAATAGTTATATTAGCATAGGACACTCCAATCCTCTTTTTACTCTGTCCCATTAAAAAAACCCACATTGCTTGCTTTTCATTTCTAAAAATAAATAAAACTCAAACTAACGATTTATATATTGTCTATATCTTCATTTAAGGTTCAAATTTGCAGAGTATTGAATTTGGCTTGTTACACAGCAATCCAACTTTTTATGTAACAGTGGTTTAAAAGGAAAACTACTTAAACATTATCTTATTAAAATGGCTCCATTTCCATCTTCTAGGCAGGTGAAGTTTCATGTGAGCGAATAGATGCCTCATGTCCCACAGCAGACTGCAGTCACCCAACTAAGCACAAAGGAGAGTGTTGTCCCACATGCAGAGGTCAGTAAATATAGCCTCTCCAGCCATTTCCACTTTAAGCCATTAAATTCAGAGGGATGGTTCTTCTGAAAATGTATCTTTCTTGATGTATGTATTCTTTCATATCTACTGTTTGCAACTGAGGTAAAGCAACCAAGAGTTTGTGTTTGTTCTGCAGAGTGTGAGTATGAAAGGAGGGTTTATGCAGATGGAACAGTGTTTGTTCCTGCAGGGGATGGACCCTGCCTGCAGTGCAGGTGTAAGGTGAGTCTGTCCATTAGTGTCCAAAAAGTATCCTATATGTAGAATTTTATCCATAACAAGTTTTCAGATATTATGCAGAAAGAGAATACTGTTGGGCCATTTCAGTTTTTCCATTTGTTTAGCCTATTGATTCAAAGTAGAAGCATAACGATTTAAACATCTGTGTTTTTCAGAGCATTTAAGGAATGTGTATACAGTATGTCTGTGTAAACTAAAAAGAGGAAATATTTAGAATTTGTGTTTGTGTGTATCTAATTTAGACTGGGAATGTAATTTGCCATGAAGAGAAATGCCCTCCCATCCACTGCTCTAACCCCATTAAAGACCCACACCACTGTTGTCCAACCTGCAAGGGTAATTGTTGACACCCACGTATGCCAGTGTAACTCGTGAGTGTACGCATACTATAAAAAAAAACTTCCATTTCATCTTAGCATGTGTTTTGGAGGGGGTGGAGTATGAGGAAGGTTCCAGATGGCAACCTGAAGGCCCATGCTCCACTTGCACCTGTGTGAATGGAGAGACCTTATGTTCACACACACTTTGCCCCCACGCTGACTGTCTTCATCCCACCAAGATTTCTGGTAAGTCTGATTATGAGTAAGAGCTAGCTGTGTTCGTATGCAGACACAAGTAGAGAGTGTAACCTGCCCTCGCTGCCTGCGCAGGTTCCTGTTGTGAAGTGTGTGAAAGCTGCACTTACAAGCATCGAGTTTACAGCAATGGCCAGAGGTTCACGACCCCTGAGCAGCCCTGCCACGTGTGCACTTGTTTGGTGCGTGTGTCTCCATGTGTCTCCAATACACAACACTTAAAACATTCCCACCCGCTGACGTGCTCTGTCTCCTCAGCATGGAACTGTTAGCTGTGAAAGACAGACTTGTCCTCAACTGGACTGCACAAACCCTTACACCCCACCTGGCGAGTGCTGTCCAAAATGTCAAGGTACGCATGCAACACTGATCTAGATCCATCTTTCTCATCACTGTCGTTAGCATAACGCAAGTGTTTTTCAATGCTTCCAGACTGCTCATTTGACAACCGTGTAGTTGTTGATGGGGAGGCATTCCCCAACCCTGTGAGTGTGTGTGAGGAATGTAAGTGTGTGAGTGGAAGAATTGACTGCCACCAAGCCCAGTGCCCTCATCCCCGCTGTAACGCCCCTCTTCCAGGATCATGCTGCCAGAATAACTGTAATGGTGAGAAATGATTCCTCCTGTCAGGGAAGTGAATGCAAATTTAAACCATTAGACATCACAAATGCAAACATTTTCTACTTCTCAGGCTGTAGTTATGCTGGGAAAGAGTATCCCAATGGGCAGGAGTTTCCCCACCCCACTGACCCATGCAGGACATGCAGCTGCATCGTGAGAAGAAGCACGCAGATTATATCTGTATGTGTAACTTGTTCTGAAGCTGGTTATAACTTGTGTTTGTGTTGCATTTGTCATAGAATGGGAATGTCCAGTGTCTGATGAAGAGGTGTCCCCCACTGCCATGCTCCAGCCCAAATGTGCTGCCTGGAGACTGCTGCCCCCAGTGTCCTGGTGAGGAAGTGCAAAAGCAGAGAACAGTGACCAATAAACACGCAGTACTCCAGTTCAAATCAGAGTAAACCACAATTGCCTTCAATTGTCCTCAGTGTAGTTATTTATAGGGAATACTGCAAGTAGAAACTACTGGTAGAAAAGCAGGCTTTGAGCTTCTGTTTTTCAATGATTTTCCTTCATTGATTTTCTGTGTTGTTTTCTTTTTTTCAGTTTCTCATGATAGCTCATTATCAGTCACATTTTTTACTGTGAAGTTGTAGTGTGATGGCTTATTTTTGACTATGTTACTTTATCAGATCCTCCGTTAGACTGCGAGTACGAACAGCGGACATACAGACACACAGAGCGGTTCTACCACCCGGCTGACAGCTGCCAGTTATGTGGCTGCCACAACGGGACAGTTCACTGTCGGCACAAGCCCTGCCCCTTTGCTCCATGCTCTCACCCCATCACACAAGAGTGCTGCCGGACCTGTGAAGGTACAGATGATTGGCCACGGTGTCTCAACTCAACTCAAAAACAAACGTCCTTAATTTTTTTAACAAAAGTATTGTCTACTGCACATTCATTTATGTCTCTCTTACAGGCTGTTTGTATGAGGGCAGAGAGCGGGCCAATGGGGAGTCCTGGGATGACCCATCAGACCCATGTGCCGTTTGTGTTTGTCGTGGGGGCACTATCCAGTGTGAGAGGAAACGCTGCCCACCCTCCAACTGTAACCACCCAGTTCAGGGACAGTGTTGCATGTCCTGTGATGGTATGTTGCTGAAACCCCTAAAAACTGCCAGACTTCACTGAGACCGCTCCTACGAAAGTGTCTTAACATTCTTCTTGCAGGCTGCACATTTCACGGTAAAGAATATCCAGACGGCACAGAGTTTGGGGATGACAAAGATCCATGTGGTGTTTGTTACTGTTACGGAGGGGATGTCATCTGCAGCAAATTAGCCTGTCGTGAAGACTGCAGCCACCCTTACAAACCGCCTGGTCAATGCTGTGGAGAATGTGAACGTAAGTGTTGTTTCAAACTCATCTCGTTACGATCATCAGCGCTCATGTTTATGAAATGACTACACAAACCTGTTTTTATTTGTCAGGCTGCTTCTATAACAGCGCGGTCCTCCTCAGTGGACAGTCCATCCCTGACCCGGGGAATCCCTGCTCTGAATGTATCTGCCAGGTATCATCAACACGCACAGAAACTCTTGGGATTCGATGTTTTTCATTTTAATGTGTTTTTTCTGTTAAAGAGAGGCTCTGTGCGATGCGTGAGGAGGCAGTGTCCAGCAGCCCCTTGCCCTCATCCAGTCACCAACTCATGTGGCTGCCCCGTTTGTGATGGTGACTTTCTTTCAAACAATTACACTTCACGCAATCCAAAGAAAGCAAGGAACTGATTCTGCTCACTGTGAATGTAGGATGTCTTTTCCAGGGTGTGACTTATGTTGAGGGACAGACTTTGCAAGGAGGAGAAAGAGGGTGCGAGGACTGCACATGCTCAGTGAGTAGAGAAGTCATATTAGTTGTCTGTCAGATTTTCCGCAGCATTCTAAACCTCTGTTTCGATTTTTTCTCTGTAGAGAGGGGAAGTACTATGTGTGCAGAAAAGATGCCCTGAAGTGCCGTGCCCACACCCCGTTCTGGACGGCTGCAGGTGTGGCGTGTGTGATGGGTGTACCTTTGATGGACGAGTTTGCTTCAACGGAGAGCGATTCCAGCACCCTGAGGACCACTGTCAGCTCTGCTCCTGTCTGGTGCTGACCCCCACAGTTTTGTTTTGTACCTGACATAACTTGGACGGTTTGTGGATTCTGAGAAAGACCAGGTCACATATAGAGTACATATAAGTGGCATCTCTGCACCTTCTAGATGTGAGCTGCAATTTCAAACAAAGGAATCTTGTAGATACCTATATTTACAAGATATACCGTAGGTACAGCACTAAAACTGTTCGTTAGAAACTCCCATTTGCAGCCCAATATGCTTTTCCTCTGCTAAACCTCATCAAGAGTGTGTTTATTGATTGTCAAGCACATTACTACAGAAAAGTTCTCTGGTGCTCAGGGGAGAAAATATTAGCGCTAAAAGAGGAATATTACACATATATATTTTCCTGTGCTATGAACAAATTACAAACTCTGTATAATCATAGTTATCATTAAATTATATTATATTATATTATATTATATTATATTATATTATATTATAT